CGCTGGTTCATTTGCTATCAGTAGGCGGACACTTTGGCCCCAAGGCTGCACAACCTCAAATGTATCATGTATCTATCTTGGCGTCAGGGTGTCCGCATACGGTAGCAAATGGGTCAGCAAGTAGCTCGATTCCACTCATCCGCGCAAGGCAGGGGAATTGGAAAACGTGCAAGCATGGCAGCCCGGGGAGTCTCAGCTTACCGCACAGTGCTCGTGACTTTTTGGCATCCGTGAACACAAGCTACCATAGCGGGTGGGGCAGAAAGGAAAAAATCGACCGGAGCCTCAATATTTTGTTTGGTTGGCATGTGGCAGCAGTTCGAGGAGGTGTACTGTACATTATCCACGGTAGTGCAGCACGAGACAGCACCCTGTCGCTGCCAGGGTATCATAGGGTGACAGCCTTGCTTCAAGTTAATCCCCAATCGAGGCTTGAGTATCATACCGCCACCGGCGTGGAACAAGAATGTCACATCCCGTCTCGTGATTTTTCCAATGATCACCCCCTGGGGCGCGGATTGGCCAGCCCTGCGCGTTTTTCGAGTGGCTTAGGGCGCTGTAATATCTCAAACCCGATATCAGATTTTCTCAGCTGGAATCAATAGGTCAGTTCGGGACAGGATTTGTTCTAGCGGATTTTCGAGAGCGGGTCGTTGAGATCCAGCACGCCGGTTGGCTGGTATTATACTTGAACCGTGTCGGGGAAGGAGCTAATACTTCTTCTCCTCGGGAGCCTCGTTTCCGGATTGGGGATTTACAATGTGGGGCGGCGGAGAAGGCGGATTTCAAGAACATTGGCACCCGCCCGAACAAATTTCTCCCCTAGGCTTGAAAGGGAAGCCCAAATGCTTTTTAATGTTCTGGAGAGTGTGTGGGTATGGTAGATGTGATACCCAGCTACCAAGTGTCATGCGCAGATTCTTCCAGCCGGTGAGTTGCAGATTTCATTTATTATGATACTATATTATTATTAAGGGCGTGTTTGGCACACCATGATCTGTAACTGACAGATAGGGTAGCAAAGCCAGAACCTGCGCACATAGTCCCTCCCTGCACGTCCTGATTGGTTTGTCCTCCAGATTCCAAATCGCCGTTCCAAAATACGGTGTGCCAAACATCCCCTACGGTAAATCAGTGATATGATGATGCATGACGAGAACTTCTTAGGGCACTGTACAGTACCGTAATATATCATACAGTCATTGCATGTGGAGAGGATCCCTAGGCAGGTGAAACCTTAAGGCGAAAAGCGAGAACAAAGTGAGCATGATAATATATCATTATAGTGTCAAAGTTAAAATTAATACTGCTGGACGGGGCAATCACTAAATTAGATAACAAATTATATGTTCCTCACAAGAAGACTTTCCCGAATTATCATCCTCTGCTAGAAAATCCCATCTTTTGCTTGTCGCCATTCTGTACTATGGACACGGGTGGGATATCAAGTGAACTATCCAGGTATGCTACCCCTTGCTCTGGCAAGCATAGCATAATTGGTTATGACATATGAAAAATCTCCCGCAATGCCACATCTCAAACATGTCAGATCATCATTGGAGTCTCTCCAATACCCTGTGCGCTCCCAGGTACCTCTTCCACAGCTCTCATCTGGTGGAATGGGGTTGCGGCAAACTTGTGTAAGGTGGAGTTTAGATTGGTGCTAATTTTCAGTCTCCAACGGGGGGGCATGACGAATACTGACTGTATTGGCAAGTGACGGATAAGAGCAGGGTAACGAAGAAATACCTGTTATGATACTGACACCTGTTTTCCTCACTGGTCGGTATTCGTCGTGCTCCCGTTGGAGGATTGTACTGTACAGTACCGTACCGTACTCGTACAGTAAAAGTACAGGAGACCTTCCTGCAAAAAATGCCAAGCCAAATCTCCATGTTTCTGGAAACCTTTTTTTGCCAATGCGCAAGTACCGAATTTGTTGGATCGCATTAGCCGATATACTCACGATTCTCTTAGTATATCATGCTGAGCCTGTTGTGGGCTGACGGGCTGATTTCCGCTGATAACCTGTTATGGATTCTAAGGGTTCTTGCTGTAGGAGTAATATGAGGCTAGTTCATTGGTGTTGCTACTACTGTACTCGTACAGTACTCGTATAGGGCGCCACCGTCCTCACGGCATCTACCGGTACTCGGGTAATCAGCGGTAGCGTACCGTACCCCGAGCGTCGTAAATATCATACAATACCGTTCTTCGAGAGAGTCATTTGGTGCTCAACTTTTTTGTTTGAATGATCCCGAACTTCGAGTCACTCGTACGTCTGTGCACGGGGGGACGAAAGGGGCGGTTTCTAATAAAGGAACAAGTGGGTGCCGAATGACTCTACCGCTACCCAAGTCGAGTTACTAACAACTACACTGTGATAGTATTGTACCCAGAAGACGGTTAGGGAACAGTTAACTCTTGTTAACCTGCAAAATACCGTACACCCTGTCTTGTCTTGTACTCGTACGAGGAGGCATTTCCCGGGCACAGTGCTAGTACCTGTACTCATACTCCTAACTTCACCTCCAGAGCTAATTCTAGAATAGCGCATCATACCGATGACTCGTTCGGAAAATGTCCCTGAGGCCTTGCGGTAAGTTGGTGAAGTATGGGGCCGGACCACCGGTCCAGATCCCCTTGCCGCTATCACATCTCGAGTACAGCACGGTAGACCAGTCCGTCATTAAGGGTGCAGGTTACAAAGGCCGTTCACTTACTGGTGTCGTATGAGTATAAACTCTTCAGGTCCGCCATCTCCTCCAACCCCATGACCTCCGGATTCAGAGGCAATGGCTCTCTGGAAGGATTAATTTAGCGTCTTCCGGTGCCCAGACATAGTATCCATTTGGAGCGGTCAAATTCGCTAAGGCCAGATCCGGCAATGGTTAGCTGAATTTCTGCCTGGGAAACCGGATTTTCAGTCTAAGGTATTCAGTGCTCAAATGACTCAGCATTCTTGGTACCTGTAAGTCCAGCAGTCATCTGAAAGCTTAAATCGTGCTGGGATAGGCTTAGGGTGCCCCGAGAGACCGTTTCTGACCGCCCAGGGTAAGGCTACCGTACTTGAGTAGACTCCAGTGTGGCCGATAGAAACATCAGTCACGTGCCTTATCTGGGGACACTGCGACAAGAAGGTTCACCAAAGATTTCTTTGTCGGGCCTCACGTGACGGATATACGGATATATCTATCGGCGCGCACTGGTACGTTAAGATTGGCCCACCAGATGTGTTGAATCTTGTTTGCGAGTAACCGGTATTCACAATTCGCTTAGCCTGTTAACCTGCCCCGTATAATCTCAAATAATCGAACCGTGTGCTATGTCGTTGGGGTTGCCTCTGGTAAGGTCTAGTGTTCCATTTGTCTCTCTCACGCAGGAGCTGAGCAGCTCTTTTATTTTATTTCTCCGCCGTATTTTTCGCCCTTTTCTCATGTCCACGGCAGGGAATTCTCGAGCAAATCCTGTCGTAGTCTGACGGACCCGTTTCTGCCGATAGCTCGCAAGGTGTGGGAAAAAAAACCCGAGCAAGGGCGAACAAAGTGCGGCGAAGAGTTACCAACATTGAGAGGAAAACCCAACTGCCCAAAGTGTTATAGAACGTGGATCCGATATGGCGTTAATTTGTTGTTGCCTTGTTTCTGTATAATTCAGGTTGATTCCTACTGCGCCGTATTGCCTAACCTTGCCGTGGGAATGCATGCGTTGTGGATTATGTATGTTACCGGTATGCATTCCTGCACACCGATGATTTCCTTTGTGTTTGCTTCCTTGAGTAGTCCCCCGCTTCCTCTGCCCCCCTCCTTTTCTTTATCCGAAGTTCCTTTGAAAACTTGATAAAGCCCTTCTCTTGTTCCCACAGCCACCATTCACAACGCGGGGGGGATGAAATTCCGAGGATCATGCGACGATTATAAAAGCCCCAGCGGGTTCCGGCGAGCGAGCGGAAGCCGCCCGACACCTGCCGGAGACCTTTTGTGGAAGAACCTGTAGCACCTGCTCGAACCTTCCACCTCCCATCGGTATCTATACTGTGGTCCTTTCCGGAAAGATGGCATGGGGCCTTTGACACGGAACCGGAACAAACTATCCGCCTCACGGAACCGGTCGTGGGGGCTTGTGCTTTCAGCACGTAGCATACTCTACCACCTCAACTACTAATACCAGCGTTCAACAACCACCCCCATCCCCTGTCCAACCTTCCAAACAAAGAGAGCCAGGATGTCACCGCTAACGCCCCTGTCCGAAAGTACCCCACCGGATAGGCTATGGCGTAGCATCTACCGTTTCATATCGCAATAGCTACCTGGCAGGATCTGCTGTGACGAGCACCGTATAATCTGGAGACACCCAGAATACACTAGAGGGACAGAACCCGTGGCTCGAAGAGAAATTGCTCCGAGATGCAACATGTTAATCCATTAAAATGAAATAGGCCTTTCCCGTAGAGGTGCCCGGAGAGAGAACGAGTTGGAGCGGAAACCCAGGGTGTATCTGCTTCCGACCGAATGGGAAGTGGGGAGAATTACTGTGCCCCAAGAGAGGCACATCGTGGAGGGAGCTTACGATGCGATTCATACTCTAGCATGCCGCCCTAATATATTGATGCTTTCTACCACTTGCTCTACCTCAGGGGCTTTTCCTAGGTATCATAGGTGCATTTTCAGGGATAGATTTGAGTTGGGAGTTCAATCAGCACGCCGGGTACTTTGGCTTTGACTTACTTCGCTCTCGTGTTATTACGGCGTGGGGTGCCAATACCGGGCGGTAGTTAGTGTTTAAGGGTTCGCGGGGCAGAGCACAGAATAGCATCGTAACCAAGCTCATCTCGGTGAATTTTCCAAGGCAAGGACGGCCCGCAAGGACGCAGAATTATCAATAAGTGTATCAATGCTAGTCCGTTCTGGAAACTAGAGTATAATTTAAATAGCCTATCCCAACCCACCTTTAGCCGAACATATCCGCAGGCCAATTCCAGCGAGAGCCCCCCATTAATACTAATCGTCCTCATCGCTCAACCCCCACTCACCTTCGCTCCCACTCTCAATCTCGCTCCAACCCTCTTCATCATCCTCAATTTTTTCGTTCTCGCACTCACTTCCGCTCTCGTCATCCTCGTGTGGTCCATCCTTCTCCGGTTCAGCCATCAGCTCATCGACCTGCTCCGGACTAAACCCATGCCCATTCGCACTTCCAAGATGGTTCCTCAGATCATACAACCTGGCATACCTCCATCTACACCCATCCACAATGCAGGTGATATGTCTACCAGAGTTTTCGTAGCCATAGCCACTTAGTTCCTCAATTAGCCCCAGCTTCCTGATCAAGGCTCTAGGTCTCCCAGACTTCCCCAACCCGGACTTAATCTCCGAGTTCGGGTTATGTGTGCGGGCAATGTGTTTCTGAAGCGGTGCTTTGTATTGATAATTCCTTGGACAGTGCGGACAAGCAAATGGGCGGTATCCCTGGTGCACGATCTTGATGTGGGTTTTGACGTACTGGGGTTTAGTCAAGCCCTGTCCACATATCTCGCAGATATGCGTTTTGCGCTTGTCGAGGGGTATGTCGTGTTTATTTTGTATATGTAGCTTCAGAGCTTTATGGCTGGGTGAGCGGTGGGAGCAGTGTGAGCAGACTGGCGGATGAGCTGCACTGGTGTGAGCACGGAGTTCTCTGTAAGAGTTAAAAGAGGATGTATCTGGTAGAACTGTGCGTTGGATGGGGAAGGCTGTATCGTTTGTAGATATATCCTCCAGCGGGGGTGGGCCGGGGTTCTTCTGGCAGGTGTCACACCAGAATCGGAGTTTTGGAATACCACTGTGTTGGGATGCAATATGGCTCTCTAGCTTCCGCTTTGTGTCGCTAGCATAAGAGCAATGTTTCGTAGAGCCGTCGGTATCCTGATGAGGACATGCCCACGGAAGCAGTCCGCAGTGAACTTCTCGGATATGTCTTGCCAGCGGCCCACGTTTTCGGAAACCTTCATTACAAGGGGGATAATCCACACACTACGCAACTCTCATCAGTCTCATCCATAAGCGAAATTCACGAAAGGAGAACCCCACAACATGCGGAAGAGCCTTTTGATGGCTTTCCAGATGCCTCTTAAGGTGCTGATTCGTAGTAAACTTCGCCCCGCACTCCCTTCCACCGTCAACCACTTTCCCGCCCTGTCCCGCAACCCTCTTGAACCCAAAAGTTCCAAGCTGATCTTCCTGCCCTTGGGGGATGACAAACGTGCATACGTAGCGCTTGTCCTGTAGATGCTTCGCTCGAATGTGCGCTTTAAGATGCGACTCCCTGAGGAAGGACATATCGCACCCCCCATTTGAACATTGAAATGGCCGTTCGCCGGTGTGACTTCGTAGGTGCTCCGTTAGGCGGCAGGGACGGGTAAAGTGCTTGTCACAGCCAGGTTCGGTGCATGGAAATTCTGGTGGACATTGTTAGCCCCTTCACCTCGGAATTTTAACTATTGGTAGGTCATGGTACTCTTTTCTCGAGGTTTTCTAGCTGTCTTCTTCTCTAGTTCTCGCTTCGGTGCTGGCTTCAGTGCTGGCGTTAGCTCACTTAGCTCAATGCTAGCTGTCTCCACAGTTATTTTTGGTGATTTGAAGTTCGGGGACGAGCTCGGAGGTGAAGGGGATGCCGAGCGTTTTCGGGGCCCTTTAGCAACAGAAATGGGATTTTTTGTCGCAGGCGGCTTTGTGGAAGAGATTGCCTCCACCGGCGCGGTCGAGGTGAGCTTCACACGCCCGGGCATTTTGAACTGCGATATGTTCAGCAATTTCTGACGGTTAGTCGATGAGTTTGTTCTTTTCTGTGCCTGGAGAAACTATGCGTGGAGAAAGATGGCTGAGGATTTGTGCGCGCCAAGATTTCAGGTCCATTTGTAACCCTAACCCCTGGTAAATTTCATTATCACTCGAAATCTAAGTTCGCCGGTGCTTCCCAAAATTGATTAGCGGCATCCTCAGTGCCTTCAAACAATTCCAGTCGTATTCCGAGGGCATGGAAAAGGGTAAATAACTAGAGCCAAAAAAGAAAGGAGGTTATGATACAAAAATTTGGAGTGAAAGGCCCACCAAATTTTTCTTATCAGACCGTGCGACTATTGTCTGCCCGCCTGCACTCGTACATCGAGTCTTAACCATAATTGTAATAGTGTTTCCTCCCCGCCTTCCCTACCAGATTGCCAGGAGCGCCAGAGTAGAGCTCTTGCTCTTAATTGAAAGTGTCATCTGTGCTATCAGAACTATGGTATAAACCATAGTGTTAAAACTTTATTCTTTGTTCGGATCTAGGAGTATCCTAGCCCGTTACTTAAAAGGACAAAGAAATAAAATCATACTTTGAGTATAGTCATATTTACCCAGTGGGAAAAATCTTGGTAATAAATATCACAGCATCCTGACATATTTTTTACTCTTCCCATCTGCCTTCCTCAATAGTCCGTACGACTCAAGGAATAGTGTGCTGGGATGTCCTTCCCTCCCCTCCCTCCGGAATCCCCCTCACTAACTTGGGAAATAGTACCAGAAACAGTTATAGGAAATAGGTCGACACAGCAGAGGATTTTCCCAACCGTTCCTCGGAGATTTTATTATTCAAATATGTGGAAATACAATTCAGATTCGCCTTTGCCCATGTGGGAGATAAAACAACAAGAGAACCTAAACGAGTTTGGCAACACAAGAGTATGAGTATAACTATTTTCCGACCCAGGATACCCAAATACCACCCAATAACAGAATTAGTAAACAGCTCAGGAGAAAATTCAATAGAAAGAAAGATAGAAGGCTTTTATTAAAACCAAGTACTCACGCATCAGAGAAAAATATGCCAAGACCCCCTAATATACCAACACAAGTTCTCCGGGCCAAACTAGGAGAAGACAAACGACTAAGCAACTTCCACAACTGAATTGAATTCACCAACTAATTCCCTCATACCCCAATCAGTACTAAGTATAAACATTTATATTTAGAAAGATCTTTGGACTTGGATTGACTTACCATCACCACCTCACTACACCTCATACCTCCTCACACCTCCTCACACCTCCTCACACCATGGATTAATCACTACCAACCCACATCTCTTTCTTCCAAATACCAGTCTTCTTCCTGTCAAGTCTCCTGTCAAGTCTCCTGTCAAGTCTCCTGTCAAGTCTCCTGTCAAGTCTCCTGGCAAGTCTCCTTTCATTGACATTAATTGCAGGAGAGGAGTTCATAATATCATCATTTGGATCCGTCCACTTGTACTCACAAGTATAAGTAAAGACTTAGTCAATCCATTTCTGCACATGAATGTAACATTCATGTGCAAGATATATGTTACTTGATTGTTGGAGTTTGGCTTCAGGCAGAGAAGCACCACATGAAATACAGATCTCCCTCTCAAAGTGGATCTGGTTTTTATTTTCAGTGGTATTTTCGGGATTGTGCTCTCTGAGATAGTACAAGCCAAAAGTATGACCACACCTGTAATGGGTATAGGTTATATAATAGGTGGTGTGAGACATTCTGGGGGAGTTTGGGTAGTGTGTTTGGTTTGGCTGGGTGAGATTAGTTGAGTGTGTAGAGCTGGTAAGTGTGATCTGGTTTGGTTTTGGTGAGCTTGGGATGAGAGTTATAAGCTAAAAGAGAGGCAATAGTATATTAGGTTTTGAGAACTTGAGAAGGAATACAGGTTTGAACAGTTTACTGGTGGAAATACTATGTTGTATTAAAACCCAAGTCATTTCTTTCCTTTTTTTTTTTTTTTTTGAGATATAACATTTTAGCAGCTTACAGGCTGGGATGAGAGAAGAAAAAAAGTAATTTTCAAGATATTTGGTATAGTATTATGCCTAATATAGTTCAAATACAAAAATGAAGAATATGGGTAGAATAGGAGGAGAAAAAGTTGTCTCTGAATTGGTATACCAAATGTATCCTTAGAATATTAGAATATTATTTAAGAATATAATAAATTGGGGAGAAAAATGGCATTGAAGTGAGAAAACCACATTTTTGTTACATGCCAAACAAGGCATTAAAATTGAAAGTACAATAAATTAAAACACTCTAATCTAGAACTATTCTGGTATAGTAGGAACTTGAATAAACAGACCATTTACGAGTACGGTACTATGTTGTCCAAAATTTCCTCCTCTGTGAAAAACGCCCCTAAAAGCCTGCTTTGCAAGACAAATAGGGGAACAAAAAACTACAAGACATTATTAGGAGAGGTAACTACAGAGTACTAACTCATTGTCTGGTTATTTGAGTTCTTATGGTAGTTCAATAGGGTACTAAGAAACTGCACCTCGCTGTGAATAAGCTCGCAGAGGAATCCTATTTAGTATAGTATACGATACAGCTAACTTATTACGTATTAAAATGCGAATATCACTTATGAGAGAATAGCAGCTGATAATATTTGTTCGGCAAACCTAGTATCACTGTTTAATCCGGCGTTGGTATCATTGATACAGGGCGCAGTATTGGGCAGCATCAATATCAAGGGGGTGAGATCACCTATTCGAAAATAAAATAAAAATTTAATAACAAACGTATCATATAACATTTACCACTTTGGTTTGTATTTTTTTTTTAAAAAAAAACCCCCCAACTCATATACAAAAACTATGGAAGGGGATCTTTTTCATAACTTGTCGATTGCTCATAAGGTTAGGTTTACAGTATTCCCAAGCTCTTAACGAAAACCGCAAAGCCTAATATCATGGTGCGATTCTGTCTTGATCTCCCAACTGTGCACCGACATCAAGCCACAGGGCATACACGGACTGCCCTGTTGGGCCTCTCCAAGAAGGCCATAATTCAGGTTCGTAGCGAAGCCTTTCGGGATAAGCGAAGCCGAAGTAATAAACAAATACCGAAGTCCAGATAGTAAAACCCCACAAGCCCATCTCGGGAAATGCACGAAATGCAGGAATCTACTCCAAAGTACAGTACCTCTCTCCGGCCCCGGAGACCTGTGCGTGCAAGAGCTATTTTAGGAGGATGAGAAAAAAAGAAAAGAAAAAAAAAGCCCCAGGTTATGAGCGAGCCATTTCAATCCTTGAACGTCTAAGAAAACCCTAAGATGCCGGTTCATAGGTTATGACTTTATGGCTAGCTACAGCTGACACAAGCGTAGCCCAGCTGGACTTACTGAGCTGCAGCACTTGGTCCTACTAATACTATCATCATAAAACACAAAAACAGCATATGTCTCCAGGCATACCTGAATCTCGCTCACTTTCTGTACTTTGCTAACTAGTGTCTTTGCGTTACGAAAGACTCC